GTCAGACTGCCGTGGTCCCTCCCTGCGCAGTCTTGTCCTGCTCCCTGAGCCCAAGCCGCCCCAGGCTGGGCCCCCAGAGGGAGCTCCTGGTTCAGGGGCCACATTCTGCCGTGGCTCCTGATTGCCCCAGCGCATGGCATTGGTCGGCTCGGCCGGGCACAGGCCTGGGGCCCCCCATGCCCTCTGTCCCCACGACCCCCACTATTGCCTCCTTTTGTTCCACCCCCAGGGCTGGGGCCGCTGGGCAGGAGGGTGCTCGGGTGGGTGACCACGGCTCGTGGTTGAGGCAGGAGGGAAGTGCTTGGTCCGGGGTGGGGCCGGGGGCATCAGCCCAGACAGAGGGGCCCTGGGTGGGCAGAGGAGGGTCTGCCTAGGACGCGCCTTAAGGAACCTTGAACCCGGTCCCCAAAGACCTGAGGAGGGTGTCCCCACCTGCCCACTGTGCTGCGAATGGGCCGAAGCCGGGGGACCCCCAGGAGCCTCTCGGGGGACGGTGCCCTGACCGGGAATCGAACTGCGGCCTCCTGGTTCCTAGGTCGAAGCTCAACCCCTGAGCCAGGCCGGCCCAGCTTGTTGATTTTTAGAGAGAGAGGAAGGGACGGGGAGAGAGACACATGGATCGGCTGCCTCCTGCCCGCCCCCTACTGGGGATGGATCCGAACCCAGGCACTGCCCTGGCCGGGAATCGGAACCTGGGACCCCTCGGGGCACACGAAGGCGGGGTGAGGTGTGTCTTCCTGCTTCACTCTCTTCCCTCAGGCGTCTGGCCAGCGGGCAGTCAGGGCCATCCTGGCCCAAGTTCAAGGCCGGGACGTTCTGGGCCGGAGGCAGTGGGAAGCTGAGCCGCGAGCTTGTGCGAGGGCGGGTTGACTTTTGTTCACCTCCACCGTCGGCTCATCTCCCATGCGGCTGCGGTGCCCCCCCCCCCCCCCCAAAGCCCTGCCAGGACAAAGGACTCGTCTTTCCTCCGCCTCCAACTCTTGCCTGTTCTGTGGCAGCAGAACCCGGAGCGGCAGCCAGCACGGGGCTGGGACCGCACGTCCAGGTGGCACCACCCACCACCAGGGGGGCCCTCCACCTCCTCCCGGTGCTGGGGGCTCAGACAGATGCTGCTGGGGCCTCTGCTCTGCTCCCAGGGGACCCCGAGGGGCCGGCCAAGGTCACGGGGAGCAGAGGTGGGGGTCACAGTGTGGGAGGCGGCA